AATTAATTAGTATGGCTGGTAATCCAGGGTGAGGCTGATGACTGACTTGTGGCAGGCTTGGTGTTGGCATGTGGTGTTGGGGATGGGATGAGGGAGAAGCAAAGGGAGGCCTTTTCAAGAGTCCCCAACCAGTAATTACACACAGCAGGGGAGGTGGATGGCTCAGGCTGCAGTGACTAATGTATGTGTGTCAAGCTTATCAACTTTGGTGACTCTATGCTTTTCGCAGGGATTTCTTAAACAAGGAATACTTTTGTCAAATCTTACCTATGAAACATAGCTTGCTATTTATGCCATCCATGTTCTAATCAGAGCCAATTCTGGTTAGCTTTCAAGATCAGACAGGATCTGGTGCTCATAGGATATTTAGGTTGGTTTGACTAAAAAATCAGGGCAGGCATGTGTGTGACGCTAGTGACAATTGTTACAGCATTTTCCACTCTTGTTGTTAGCCCTACAAGTAATCCAGTCATGTCAAAATGGACTAATTCTCTGAGTACTCCATTGCTTATTTGTGGATTGCTAAGGAAGGACGGTTGAACTCCAGTTAGCATCTCTTCTTTCTGTTCTTTCTTCATTACTTGCACTTACACACTCCTACTTTCCCCCAGAAATGAACTGAAGGAAGCCATCTTCTCATTTTATCCTTGCAGCAACCATGGGCAGCTGAGAGAATGAAGTTAGCATAGTGTCACCCAGTGAGTTTCATAGTTCAGTCAGTGAGCCGGGGGGGGGGGGGGGGGGGGGGGGAGAGAAGAGGAATTCATCTCAAAGAACTCAGTAGATGGTCTTCAGCTTCTGAAGAATGTCACTGAAATATATATGTATGCTGAAAAGTGTTGGGTATTTTCTAAAATAAAAACAATACATACGGAGATAGTATGGGTGGGACTGCTGAACTTGCTGACAGAAAGGTCTGCAGTTTGAATCCAGGGAGTGGGGTGAGCTCCCACTGTTAGGCTCAGCTTCTGCCAACCTAGCAGCTCAAAACATGCAAATGTGAGTAGATCAATAGCTACCACTCCAGTGGGAAAGTTACAGTGCTCCATTCTGTCATGCTGGCCACATGGCCTTGGAGGTGTCAACAAACAATGCTGGCTCTTTGGCTTAGAAATGGAGATGAGCACCAACCCCCAGAGTCAGCCATATTTATTTATTATTTATTATTTATTACTGCATTTGTAGACCGCCGTTCTCAGCCCTAGGGCGACTCACGGCGGTGTACAACATATAAAAACAGATTACAAAATAAGCAATAACACAAACAACAATAACAACATCACTGTCAATACTACAATTACACTAAATCATTCGTGACGTCTCATCATAGAATCACAATCCGATCTCGTTATCCATGTTCCGTTCCAATCGTCATTGCCAATTGTTGTAGCACTTAGTCAAACGCCTTCTCAAACAACCACGTCTTTAGCCTCTTGCGGAATGTCATAAGGGAGGGCGCCTGTCTGATGTCTACAGGGAGGGTGTTCCACAGCCGGGGGGCCACCACCGAGAAGGCCCTATCCCTCGTCCCCACCAGGCGTGCCTGTGAGGCAGGCGGGATCGAGAGAAGGGCCTCCCCAGATGATCTCACAGTCCTCGTGGGCTCATAGGCCGAGATGCGGTCAGACAGGTATTTTGGGCTGGAACCGTTTAGGGCTTTGTAGGCCAACACCAGCACCTTGAATTGGGCCCGGTAGCAGATCGGCAGCCAGTGGAGCTGGAACAAGACATGACTAGACTTAATGTCAGAGAAAACCTTTCTTTACCTACAGGTGTAGGACTAGGACACTGAAGATCTGGGACTAGGACTAGTCTCAGATCTGTACCTTTACCTACAGGTGTAGGACTAGGACACTGGAGATCTGGGTTTATATTCCCACTTAGTTGTGGAAATTGAGTGAGTGTCCTTGGAAAAATCACACTCTCTCAGCCACAGAGAACAGCAGAGGAAAAGTTCCTCTGAATCTATCTTGCCAAGATAAGCCAGTGATCAACTTGCTGTAGGGTCAACATAAGACAAACAATAAACTAACATTTGGAGCTATATCTCCCATTTTTATGTGGATTCTGTTGGGTGCTCTCTGCCTCTTCAAGAGAGGCAGATGTTGATTTCCAAAGTCAAATCCCAACACTAACCAATAGGTCACACTTGCTTTCATTTGGACTACATTTGCAGTTAGATGATTTCAGGATATGTTCCCTGTTCAACCACATGAGGTAGAGTGATGCCTGCCCTTCTCATTGTTTCTGTGCTCATTGGAGTTGGTCCTAGAATGTATTTTGCAGCTCCACACATTCATAGCAACAGCAAATAATTTCTTCCTGGTAACTAGAGAACCCACCATCATAATATCACAGGCTAATCCTAGCCTGCCATGCTGTAATAGGAATGGTACAGAAAAACTATGGATGACTCTCATATCAGTGGGGATGTAAATTCTCACTGAAGTTATCAATTCTGGTTTTAGTTTAAATTATAAAGGAACCATTCAACCTAGTTTTAGAACTGGATATAACATGTGAGACAGCTAGAGAGCCAGCAAGGTATTATTATTATTATTATTATTATTATTATTATTATTATTATTATTATCCTGCTTTTTCCCACAGAAGAAGACTCAAAGCAGCTTACATTAAAAGCATTTCAATACAATTTGAAATCTACGAATATACAAACACACACACACACACATATATACACATCCACTAAGAATGTGCTGAGATGTTTTTAAAGCAACTTTTAATGTGAATATAAGTGATTTTAATGTTTGTATATATTTATGGTTTTATGTCCTGGAACTGAATGTTTGCCGTATATATGTTGTACTCCACCCTGAGTCCCCTGCGGGATGAGAAGGGTGGAATATAAATGTTTTAAATAATAAATAAGTAAATCCAACAAATGCTACTTTCAGCAAAGGACAAGAGGGATCCTCTCACCTCTGCAGGAGTCTACCATATACCATGCAGCTGTGGACAAGTCTACATACATAGGAACCACCAAACGCAGAATTGCCCAAACACGAATCAAGGAACATGAAAGGCACTGCAGAGTACTTCAACCAGAGAAGTCAGCCATAGCAGAGCACCTGATGAACCAGCCTGGACACAGCATATTATTTGAGAACACAGAAATGGTGGACCACTCTGACAACCACCATGTCAGACTACACGGAGAAGCCATTGAAATCCACAAGCATGTGGACAATTTCAACAGGAAGGAGGAAACCATGAAAATGAACAAAATCTGACTACCAGTATTTTAAAAAACTCTAAAATCCGAACAGCAAATGGGATTTATATATCTGTGGAATGTCCAGGGTGGGTGAAAGAACTCTTGTCTGTTTGAGATAGGTGTAAATTTTTCAATTGGCCACCTTGATTAGCATGAAATGGCCTAGCAGTTTCAAGGTCTGGCTTCTTATTGCCTGGGGAAAATATTTTTTGGAAGATGATTAGCTGGCCCTGATTGATTGTTGTCTGGAATTCCCTTGTTTTTGAATCAATCAGGGCCAGCTAATTATCTTCCAACAAAGATTTTCCCCAGGCAGTAAGAAGTCAGAGCTTGAAACACCTGGGCCATTTCATGCTAATCAAGGTGGCCAATTGAAACATTTACACCTACCTCAAGCAGACAAGAGTTGTATTGTTGAAGGCTTTCATGGCCAGAATCACTGGGTTGTTGTAGGTTTTTTCGGGCTATATGGCCATGTTCTAGAGGCATTCTCCTGACGTTTCGCCTGCATCTATGGCAAGCATCCTCAGAGGTAGTGAGGTCTGTTGGAAGTAGGAAAAATGGGTTTATATATCTGTGGAATGACCAGGGTGGGACAAAGGACTTTTGTCTGCTGGAGCTAGGTGTGAATGTTTCAACTGACCGTCTTGATTAGCAGTTGATTGCCTGGCAGTGCCTGGAGCAATCTTTTGTTGAGAGGTGATTAGATGTCCTTGTTTGTTTCCTCTCTGTTGTTTGCTGTTGTAATTTTTGAGTTTTTTAATACTGGTAGCCAGATTTTGTTCATTTTCATGGTTTCCTCCTTTCTGTTGAAATTGTCCACATGCTTGTGGATTTCAATGGCTTCTCTGTGTAGTCTGACATGGTGGTTGTTGGAGTGATCCAGCATTTCTGTGTTCTCAAATAATATGTTGTGTCCAGGTCATTCCACAGATATATAAACTCTTTTTCCTAGTTCCAACAGACCTCACTACCTCTGAGGATGCTTGCCATAGATGCAGGCGAAACGTCAGGAGAAATGCCTCTAGAACATAGCCATATGGCCCGAAAAAACCTACAACCCAGACAAGAGTTCTTTCTACCACCCTGGACATTCCACAAGTATATAAACTCAATTTTCCTAGTTTCCAACAGACCTCACAACCTCTGAGAATGCCTGCCATAGATGCAGGCAAAACGTCAGGAGAGAATGCTTCAGGAACGTGGCCATACAGCCCAGAAAACTCACAACAACCCAATTGTTTAAAATGTGTGCACCTCTGTGCAGATGTATTTCCATCCTCCCTTCTCTCCATCCCTTCCCACTTTTGATCAATCTCTCTCTCATCATCTGCTGTAACTAAAGGTGAAACACTCAACTGCTCTTTTCTTAAAAGGCAAAGCAAGAGATCTCCCTGTGTTTCAGAAACTAAGAAATGATTGTGGTTCCAGAAACGAGAAAACTGGGGGACTGGGAAACCTTCCTGGCTGAGGCGGCGTCACCACTAGAGACCCCTCCTGCCTGCCTTGGCCTTCTTTCCCCTTCTGTCCCAAGTGGGAGGAGCTCTCAGCTTCTGGCTCAGCCAAGCAGAAAGGGGCAACACCAGAAGCTTTCAAAAGTGTCGGGGTCCCAAGGAGGAGGTCGCCAGAAGCAGGAAGGAGCCGCTGAGAGAACTTGCAGTTGCTGTTACTTGTCAAAGGGTGCTGAAATCCTGGAGAGGAGAGGAAGAGGAGCACTCAACAGCCAGCTGAAAGGAAGGAATACTCTTATTTCCAGCAAGAGCGAAGCCAAAGCAAAGCCCAAGTCCGGAGAGGGAGCTGACCACCCTCCTTGGTGCTGAAACGTCCCGCCGCGCTGGGAGAATGTTGGAAGGCTTCTGAAGCACTCTTGGCCACTTCTGCTCCCTGCAGGATCCAATCCGAAGTCCTCCAGCCTATCCTCTTCAGTAGGGTAAGTGAGTGTATGGGCTAAATGAATCCTTGGTTGAAAGGGATTGTTTACATTTGTTAGAGCCCCACATGGCACAATGGGTTAAACCCCGAAAGGTTCAAATCTAGGGAGCGGGATGAGCTCCTGTCTGTCAGCTCCAGCTTCTCATGCAGTGACATGAGAGAAGCTTCTCACAGGATGATAAAACATCTGGACGTCCCCTGGGCAACGTACTTGCAGAGGGCCAATTCTCTCACATCAGAAGCAACTTGCAGTTTCTCAAATTACTCCTGACATGAAAAAAAAAAGTTCTCAGGTGGGAGACCATCAAGGAATACAGGTGTAATTGAACTGTAAAAACCACCTTGCTAAGAAAATGATATGAAATTTATGGGAACGTCATAAATTGGGACTTGAAGGCACATAGTTCCAAACACACCCTAATTATTACTTTTTTTGTTGTTAAAACTGTTTATTTTGATTATGGTACATAACAGAAAAGCAAATCATGGCAGATATAATCAGGTACCAATATTTTTGACGTGTACATGCCTATCTACCTTATTCAGTCAATCAGTTAATTTTGTCATTAAATACAAATTATTATCATTTACATATCTTAATACACATAGACTTGCTATTTCTGCCTGTTTTCCACTGCTTTCTGTCAGAGCTTTGTATTAAATTTTTTCCATAACATTCAGTAAATCATCACATGGCATTTTACACACATACCACAGACCTTACACTCACCCCAAAACCCCTATCCTAAACAAAATAAACCCTCATCCCCACACCCATGCACCCTACACCATGACTTCCCACACCGAAACACTATGAAGCCTTTAAGCCTATTTATCTATCCTTATTCATGGTAAACCTAAATTCCTAATGGAGCTCCTCTATATTACTGACTCTCTATTCAGATATGCCATGGCCAACTTCCATTTTTCTAGAAAGTCCTCATTATTACTAATGCATATGTAACAACTTTTTCTCCCGTTGCATCCCCTGGGCAACATCCTTGCAGAGGGACAACTTTCTCACACCAGAAGCGACTTGCAGTTTCTCAAGTCACTCCTGACATGAAAGAAAAACCCCACTTGTGAGTTCTTGTTGCTCCCACATCACTGGAAGAGATGTCCTCATTCAGTTTGAGTTTCTTCATGGAAGAGAAGGCTAAGATGTGATGAAACCATTCTGGGGGTGTTGTTGTTTTTTTAAGGGGCTGAAAATATTTTGGCGATAGAGCTTGATGCTATGGGACACTTAACAAAATTAATTGTATTGTATTTTCAAAAATATAATTTGTATCTGACAAAAAATGCAGAGAGAAAAAAACCCAAAACAGAAAAACCCAATAGCAAAATAATCTTATAGTATTCAAATCCTGTTAGTTTTCCTGCCCCTGCCAGCTAAAACTACCAAATAAAGTCTCTTTGGGAGAGAAAAGCATTGAAAGATGGGGGTGGGTTGAGGGTTAATTGTACTGTGGGTAGCGGGTTGTATGTGTATGTGTATGTGTATATGCCTGCAATGTATATGGTCAGTGTATTACCTTTTTAAAATTAAAAAATTATAATAAGCAAAGGGGGAAAAAAAAAAAGAAAGAAAGACTTCTCTCCTCAAACAGGGAAAATGTGCAAACTATGATGTTGTATTTGGGTTACTGTGAGTTTTCCAAACTGGCCATGTTCCAGAAGCATTCTCTCCTGATGTTTCACCCACATCTATGGCAGGCATTCTCAAAGGTTGAGATGTCTGTTAGAAACTAGGAAAATTGGGTTTATATATCTGTGGAGTGTCCAGGATGGGAGAAATAACTCTTGTCTGTTTGAGGCAAGCGTGAATGTTGCAATTGGTCACCTTGATTAACATTGAATGGCCTTTCAATGCTAGACAATTCAATGCTAATCAAGGTGGCCAGTTGCAAGATTCATACTTGCCTCAAACAGACAAGAGTTCTTTCTCCCACCCTGGACACAGATATATAAACCTCACTTGCCTCATTTCCAACAGACCCCACAACCTCTGAAGGTGCCTGTCATAGATGTGAGCAAAATGTCTGGAGAGAATGCTTCTGGAATATGGCCGTATAGTCTGGAAAACTCACAGTAACCCAGTGATTCCAGCCACGAAAGCCTTCAACAACTCAACGTTACACTTGTTTCTACTTAATTGCACTTTAGCTTCTGCTAAAACTAGATGAATATATTTCGAATTCGAATTGATATATACCCACAAGTAATATTAATAGAAACAATTTTGATTAAAATTTAAAATGTTTGCAATTTCATCTTTTATTCATTATCTATGGGAGACTTTTAGGGAAAACTTTTTCAATGTTCAGACTAAAACCCAAAGTGGAGTCAGGTAACTGACAATGACTTATTAGCACACTTTGGATTGAGAAAAGTATTGAGGCCCCCAAATAGTACCCTAAGGTCTTAAGGATTGAACTCACACATTCATTCAACCCAGCAATCCTCATTCAACATGCACTCTATTATGGATGGCATCTGTGTGTGTGTTTGTGAAAGAGAGGGTAAAGTTTTAATCAGCTTTTATTAGACACTTCAGCTATGCTACAAAAGAGGGTTAAAGGTTCATTAAAAATGTAAATACAGTAATTCACATTAATCAGTTTTGAGACTCTCCCCTAGATTATGCTTGACTTGCATTCCAATCTACAAGGGGCGTAATTAAATTGAAATCACTTAGTACAGATTATTTAAGCATACTCCCTTAATACACTTTTATAAATGGAATGATAGAGAAGATGATTTCAGACATGCTTTCTACCACATACATGCACTAATATGTGTAAAACCCATATCACATTGTAAGGTTATATAGAGTACTGCACTATCTCATAGGGAAGAACCAAAGCTAGTTGGACTTTTGTGAGGGGAAAATTTCTTACCACCCAATTTAGTTCTTAAACGATGGGTTTCTTCATATCTTCTGATACATGTTTGTAGGTGGAATCAGGAAACGAGTTAGAATAAAAGATACTGAAGGAAGGTTATTCAGGGTGTAATGTTTAATATTAGAGATGCCTGGGTGCAGCAGAAGATTTGAATTCCTACTTATCCACATAATATTGACAGGGTGTCAACAAGGTATCAATGTGAACAAACAAATCCACAGAAAGTGATGACTCTATGCATACTATTCCGATCATAGACAGTGTAGTCTAGTGAATAGTTCTGGGTTTTAGTTTCTCCCATGTGGATTTGTGTTCCAACACATGTTCCTTTTTTGCAAGCTTTAGGACACTGCTGATACTACATTAGTTGTTGTTATTATTATTGTTGCTGTTTGCCATCAAGCTATTTCTGACTTATGGCAGCCCTCAGGTGACCTTATTGTGAGTTTATCTTGGAAAAATTTGGTCAGAAGAGTTTTGCCATTGCCTTCCTCTGAAGTGGAGAGAGTGTGACCTGCCCCTCATCTGCAAAATCATAATGAGAATTGTTGCTAATTAAATCGACAGATACTACAGAGGAAGAAGTATTGTTGCTCACACTGAGAGATAGGCACGGGGTTGATCTAGCAGGGCACTACATTTCCAATTAGAAGCTCTCCAGCATTGATTGCTGTCCACAAAACTATCTCACAAAAAATAGAGAAATAATTTCTGCACAGCTTATGTGCAGAAAATGTGTGTATTTTCTGCACAGCTTATTCCATTTCTCCACTATAGTTCTTAGATCTGGGTGAAATGTTTCTTTCTATTTATTATTATTTATTATTTACTTTGTGTGTGTGTGTGTAAACTGCCCTGAGTCCCTCTGGGGGGACAGGACAGTCTAGAAATAAAGTGTTATTATATTTATTATATTCTTCTTCTTCATCATCATCATCATCATAATTATTATTACATTATTTCTATTCTGCCCTTCTCAACCCCAAAGGGGACTCAGAGTAGCCTTACAAATAAGGCAGCAATTCAATGCCAAAACATATCCCACTTGAAGTTCATTGCAACACCTTGCACTCATTTCTTTTTGTCATTAGGTAAGCAATGGAGGAGAGCCAGCATGATGTAAATGTTCGAGTGTTGAAATGGGAATCTGGAAGTCCAGGGTTGAAATCTCTGCTGAGCTATAGAAACTCATTAGGCAAGACACACACTCTCAGCCTGAAAGGAAGTCAAGGGTCAAACTGCTCTGAATAAATCTTGCTCTGAAAACCCTACGATAGGCTAGAAATAAGTCAATTTGAAGGCATGTAACAATAACACTGTAGAAATGTTACCTCTTAGAATAATAGAATCCTAGAGTTGGAAGAGATCTCATGGGCCATCCAGTCCAGCCCCCTGCCAAGAAGCAGGAAAATCGCATTCAAAGCACCCCCGACAGATGGCCATCCAGCCTCTGTTTAAAAGCTTCCAAAGAATGAGCCTCCACCACACTCCAGGGCAGAGAGTTCCACTGCTGAACAGCTCTCACAGTCAGGAAGTTCTTCCTAATGTTCAGATGGAATCTCCTTTCTTGTAGTTTGAAGCCATTGTTTCATAGAAGATTTTCCACCTAACAGATCTTAGATCCAGCCATCAGTATCACTAGTCACAGGATCTGGTACATCACGGTTGAGGAAGATTACTGCTTGAGACTATGAGAAACTGCTTTTGAGTAATTTCTAAGACAGGTCCTACTAAGACATAATTTTCCTTACTGTGCTAGAAAGAAAAATGGGTCATCAGAGTTAGGATATATAACATGAGTAGAATAAGAATCTGCCCATTTCAGATCAGACAATGCTTACAATAATGTTATAAAAAGAGGAAAAAGAGATCTAGATAATAACCAGAGATCTTGTTAACCCACAATTATTTCAAAAGGGGGAAATGTGATATATTTTCCTGTGCCCTTTGGCCGTGCCCCATCTGGCCACACTTTCTCCGAGACTTCCCTGAGTGCACTGATAGACAGCTCGTAATTCCCTAGGAATAATAATCAGATGTGCCTATTCTGCATTGAACAAGAGGGAAATCCAACCCTAAGCAAGGGTGTGCT